AGGTGTAGATGGATATTCAAAACCAAGTTTAAAACTGATGGTTCAATTGAGAAGTACAAGGCCAGACTTGTGGTTCAAGGATTTAGACAAAAAGAAGGTCTAGACTTCTTTGATACCTATTCTCCAGTGACGAGAATAACTTCAATAAGAATTCTGATAGGAGTTGCAGCCCTAAGAGGACTCGAAATACATCAATTGGATGTTAAAACGGCATTTCTGAATGGTGATCTAGAAGAGGAGATTTACATGAAGCAACCCGAAGGATTTGTGGTCCCAGGTCAAAACATAAAGTCTGAAACAAGCTCTGAAGCAATGGCATGAAAAGTTTGACAATGTAATGATGTCAAATGGTTTCAGCATAAGTGAGTGTGATAAGTGCATCTATATCAAAAGTACTCATCACGTTTATATGTTGTTGTGTTTATACGTTGATGACATGCTCATCATGGTAAGTAACAATGATATTATCCAACAAACAAAGATAATGTTTAGTGGTCTTTGGAAGGATACAATGATGCAAACTGGATATCAGACTCAAAGAATTCGTAAATCCACAAGTGGGTACGTCTTTACTCTAGGAGGTGCAGCAGTATCTTGGAAATTATCCAAACAAACTCTGTTAGCAAGATCCACAATGGAATCTGAGTTTATAGCACTAGACAAGGCAGCAGAGGAAGCAGAATGGCTACGGAATTTCCTTGAAGACATCCCCATGTGGGAGAAACCAGTGCCAGCATTACAAGTGCATTGTGATAGTCACTCAGCAATAGTTCGGGCATTGAGTAACCTATACAATGGTAAGTCTCGTCACATCAGAAGGCGACATAAGACCATTAGACATTTGATTTCAATGGGTGTTATCTCGGTCGATTAGATCAAGTCAGCTGACAACCTTGCGGATCCGTTCACTAAAAGTTTAAATAGAGATCAAGTTTTGAAATCATCAAAGGGAATGAGTTTATTGCTTATAACTAAAGAGGATGTTTGATGGAAACCCCACTTATGTGATTGGATATCCTAAGATCTAAGTTCAAAGGGATAACCAAGTCGAACAGAGTCTGATGAAAGCACTCATAGACATAATGTATGTGCCCATCTTCCAAAACGATGTACAATGCTCCCTGTAAGTATTAAAGGATAAGTTTTATAATTTTAATGCTTTTGAGTAGCTTTCATAATATAGCGTATAACAGGATACTTGTGTATATGTCAGAAGCTCAAAGAAATCACCTAGTGAGTGTGAAATGCGGCCGTTTCTAGGAGGATGAAGATAAGGCTATATCTCCAAGTTCACTCATGACAAGCAGACAAGTTCACGACCACAATGAACACAACAGAGAACTTAGTTCTACGAGAAGATGAGACTGGGTTATACCTGTCGTCCAAGTTTACATAAAAATCCGGGCGGTTCAAGACATCATGTTCACCTCCTAGCCAAGTAAACTCGACAGATATCAACAATGAATATTTCAAGGCTGAAATATGCTACTATATCATACACAGTTAATTTTTTGTCTATACTCTCGAAAAGTCCTAGTGTGTCTGCATAGTCTTTCGAGTTAGTAGAGTCTGCATACATTTTAGAGTAATTTCTATTCATGTGTGAGATTTTTGGAACTTAAATTTTGGAAATTATGGATTCTTTGAAATCTTTGTAATGAGCACTAATAGACAGTGTAATTACTTGTCAAAATCGAAGTTAATTTGAATAAGAAATAAATGGTTAAAGTGGATATGTTATCAAGACTAAAAGTTAAGATGTGCATTTGTTATATATTGGAAGTATGAGGGCTATTATGCAAAACCATAAAAGAATTTCTATTTTGAAATAAATCTTTATTGACCTATTTAATAAAATTGTCAATATTCCATTTATAATTTTGTATAATATTGATAAATCTTTATTGATTGAGTCGAATTATTTTACCGAATATTTTTATTTCTTTTATCCTTGTCAAATAAGAAATAAAGATTTTTGGAATATTTTTGTTTTTTCTGTTAAACAAGGTATAAAAGTTTTCAGAATATTTTTGTTTTTCCTTAAGCTTGTTGAACAAGAAACAAAGATATTCGGAATATTTTCGTTTATTTTTTGTGAGTAAAAAAGCATATACCTTGCGCCACAAGCCTCTCTTCCACTATAAATAAGGACCTCTCTCATTCATTATTTTTCATCCAGAAAAGCAATAAGCTTTCAAACATAAATTCCAGCAAATCCCTCTTGTCTCTACAGTCTTAGATAAGTCTCTAGAGTATAACGTAGATTCTTAAGTTCGCAGATTTTATAGTCGAGTGCTGCGACTTTAGTCACAACACGATTGTATCATAGAATTCTGAATCTCATCAAACCGCCACACTGCGGGAGATTTAAAGAATTAAGAAAAGAGATCATATCTTGTCTGTATACCATCTTTCTTTAAACGTTTAAAACGTTTTATAAATAATTATCGTTTATTATTGATTTCAATCGTTCTTTGATTCGTGATTTTTAATCTGGATTTTCGCGGTCCTACACATGTTTATATTAAATACTAGTAATACAAATATCCTTATGGATCATACCTTAAAACATGTGTATGCATCAACCCCTGATAAACTTGATATTAATGCAATGATCAAAAATAAATTTTTCTTCGATGTCATTGGTAAAAGTTAATTCTGCTTATGAGCATATATTCATTTCTTCTATTTGAAATGATCGTTTGTAACAAAATTAATTATTTTTATGAACTTTTCTGTCTCCACTTTTTAAAAACTAGATATCTTGGAAGTTACTAGTACTTCCTCCATTTCAGTAAAAATGTCATATTAACACTTTTTGTTTTATAAAAATTAAAGAGTGTCATTATATATTTAATATAATTTTAAAGTAAATCTTAATTTTATCTTTATTATTTTAATTGATTAATTAGAGATATAAAATGATTTAGTTTATCAATAAACAGCAAAATAAAAATTTATATTTTTTATTCTGTATAAAAAATATCACAATAACACATTTTATAAATTATGAAATAGAAAGAGTATAAGTTAGCTGAGCTACCTTAAATAAAAAAAAACAATAGAATGAACATTTCATATACATAAATTAAAAGTTACGAATATTATTTTTTTTACTCCCTTTTATACAACTAAAAAATTCCGAATCTAATATTAAAGATCTGATGAAAAGAAATAAAATAAAATCCTAACTCTCCTGAAATAAAGAAACAATTTAACTCTAGAAATCTAAAGATGAAAAAAAAAGAATAATTAGATAAAGATTAAAGGGGGCTTATTAGATCATAGTTTTTGGAAGTCATTAGCTTTTAAAAAAAAATCTACTGTTATTGGATCTGGAATTCTTAAATGCTCAGGTTATTGGATATATAATTTTTCTTAACTAAATTAAAATAATTTATAATCCACGGTTATTCAAATGATAAGTGTCCAAAATCATAAAAAAATCTGGGGTTATTAGATCATTTTCAGTATTAAAACAAATTAAATCTGAAAAGATTTCTAAATATTTGATTACAAGTTTTTAGTTATATAACCCAATCAACAAATTTCACATACAAAGATGATAATTTCAAGAGATTTGTTTAAAAAAAAAATTCAAACTTATCTCATTTTTTAGTTGGAATAGGTTTGGATACATAATATATATGCATCTCATGTGAAAATACAAAAAAAAACTCAAAACAAAACCGAAGTATTGTTCTATACGCAATTCATTTTTTGTCATACAAAATGAACTGATATTTATCTTTAAAATTTTTTCCAAATCTTAATTTAGATTTTGTAATTACTTAACAATATATATTAAAAATCACATAATATCTATAAATTCTATCAAAATTCAACCAAATATCAAATCATTTAAATCATTGGAATCCATAATTCAATAAACCTCCCTCAATTAGATAAGAACGACTAAGTGGAGGAGGAGACAAAGAAGAAAGGGGTGAAAGAGGAGATGAAGATTTACACTTTTTATATTGTTGAGTTCTAAAGTTTCTTTTTACCTTTTTATGAGAAGATTTTTATACAAACAAAAAAGAAAGATTAACTTTTTGTACAAATGTTGATCAAATGTTACATATCTTTAAATCATCTAAACCAATCAATCTGATCCATTAAAATTTTGTCAACTAAAAAGAGAGGAAAACGTTGAAGTATTATTAGGTGGGTGAAAAGAGAAAAAAGAATAAGAAGAAATCACATATTTACAATCAATTCATTATCTGTAGTATTAATTACTATGTTGAACAATCTTCGATATCAAATTTTCAGTTGAAATAAGAATTGTAAGCACGTTAAAACTTGAGTTTGATATGTTTATCAATTGATTTATCATTAAAGTTTTTGTTAGTTAATAATAATTTACTCATTTATATTTTTTCAATATTTTAAATAAATATTTTTATGAAGTTAAACAATTTAAGATTACGGTAAATTTGAGGTGCCAATCGTATGTTGCGGTCGGTGGGCGTAGATGGCTCAGAAATATCTTTGATGTTGAGAGAAGAATTATGACATCTGATTAGATGCTCTTAGGAGGAGTTAGTTCAATAGGATTTAATCTTTTTGAAGCCCCCTTTTGTTTTAGAGGGTGGTGCTTGTTGACATTGAAAGAATGTGCGAAACTGAAGAGCACAATCCTATTTTAGAAAGCTTCAGGAATGTCTTTCCTTGAACAAGAACACACGTTCTCTTGTTTCGAACATAGAAAATCCAATGCTACGTGACTACTCAAAAATGGAATGACAACAAATAAGCATAACTGAGCCCATTTTTGTCGTTCCTTTTTTTAGCTTTCTTTTTGAGCCCATAACTGAGACCATTTAGACACTAGTAAAATAGAAGCAGTGCGAGTCAGTTGATCTTGTTCAAAACGGCGCGTAGTGTGGAAACACAATCATCACAGCGGCAAATCTAAACACGCGTCGCGATCACAGTAACGTGGCACCGCCTCGAGTTAATTAGGGTTTGTGAACAATCATCCGTTACAGTCCCACAGAAAGAAAGAGAAGATCTTGCTATGAATTCGTGATACTTATTGTCTAGTTTCCGTTTTCTTTCGATTTTGGAAGCATCAATTATCGAACATTTGAGGTACGTTTAAGATCTCTGTCTATATATGTATTTACGGAAGAATTGTTTGATTCTAGGGCTTTGAGTAGAGCAATCTGTAGAGGTAAAATCAATGGAAGACGAAACAATGGGGATTATTACGAAGGTGCAAAACTGTCGGTGTCTTGAGTTAGAAGAAAGGGTTTTAAAAGCTGAGGAAAATAACTCTGGCTTAGAATCAGAGTTACAGAAACGTAAAAAGAGTTTGAATCACTTGAATTGAGGTTTAAGCAACTAGAATCAGATAAGTTAGTAGTGGAACAAGAGTTGAGGAATTTGAAAGAAACAGAGGAAGATTCCTTAATTGAGCAGATAATGGTGAACAGAGCATTGGAGGTTGAGAAACAAGTGGCTGAGAACCAAGCCGAGGATTGGAAGAGAAGGTTTGAGAAACTCGTGGAGACGGTTCGAAAGTTAGATGAAATTGGTGCACTGGAATTAAAATCATTAGATGATAAGGTGAGGCTAGGATTAGAGTTAGCTAGGATCAAGTCGCCGATTCAAAGAAAAACTGAATCTTGTGAAGTGTACGAAGATGCTCTGAGTGGGAAAGGAATAACTAATCAGAAAATTTCAGGTTGACACTAGTATGAATGATAGATTGGTTATTCATATTGATTCGTTCGTGCCTTGCTCTTTAGGTGTAATGTGTTTTTGATTATGTTTACGTCTTTTTTTTCCATGTAGGTTCACCTTTTATTACCACACCGGTTAAAGACTTTATGTCAGGGAGAAACAGAGATAACTTGTCTTCTCGTAGACGACAAGTAAGTAAGATGTTGGTGTTTGAAGATGATGGTCACAAATCGGTTGATGTAGTTGATTTATCTGATAGCGAAACAGAGGAGAGAAACGAGAAGGAATCTGATGTTAAGAATACTCTAGAGGAGAAGAGTGTTGATGAAAGCTATGAAGATGAAGATGTGGAAGCTTGTGAATCTAACACAAACACTCGTAAGAGGAAACGGGTTATTAATAGTGATTCAGAGAATGATGATGAAGACAACATACCTCTTTCAATACTCAAGAATTTGAAACCGCTAAACCAAGAGGTGTCGGATTTGGTTGGTACACCGAGCATAGGAGAGAATGAGTCTAAAAGATTGAGTCGAGTGTCGTCAAGGCTGAGAAAGCAGAGAGTTCTTGAAGAGACGACTACTCCAAGTAAAAGACTTGTGGGAATCCCGACGACAGGTAATGCAGTGGATGATGAGACGGAAGAAGAAGAGTCAGGGGGAGAGAGCGAGAGCGAGAGTTTGGATGGGTTTATTGTTGATGATGATGTTGATGAGAGTGCAAGTGAAAAGTCTGATGAAAATCATGAAACCGAGGGTGGTGTAGAGGAGGAGGAGTCTGATGGAGAAATCGGTTACGCGGATATCATGTCAAGATTGAGGAGGGACAAGGACAAATGGGAGTACCAGACAGATATGCTGTCAGCTTTCGGTAAAGATGACGAGCTTTGTATGAGAGCGGTTTGTGTTCTGTACATGTTTCAGACAGAAGATGAGAAAGCAGCAAGATCAAGTCATGTCGCTAATGGTCGCGGTTTTAGCATGTTTGACGCCGAAAGGTATATAAGAAACTACCAGATACTCGTCTTAACATTCTTGATTTGTTTTCTTGATCTGTTTTCTTGATTTTACATTCTTGAATGATGCTTAGGGGCACTCTCATTGGACAGTTTCTGACTGATGGAGATCCTGCGGGTGATTTGAAGAAATCTGTTGAGGAATTGCAAAGTTTCAAGTTTGACGCGCTTGAGATTTGCAGAGATTTAGCAGTCCGATACTCGAAACAACTCTTCCAGATCTATAACAACAGAGAAGTTCAATTCTTCGCTGCTCCTCCATCTCCATGACTTGAGGGAAATAAACCTCATGGTAATTTTTTGTTTGTGTAAATTTTAGGTGAAAACCGGAGATTAATCTTGATGGAATCAGGGACTGAATTTGCTTATGAATAACAAAGATTAACTGAAAACACTATGCTATATGTCAAATGTACTTTTGAGAATCTAAATAAAGAACCTGTAAATTCTATACATCAAAAAATGTTTTTCTTATCAACAACATTAACAGAAAACATTAGCTTATGTCATAGTCTTTGAAAAATGAATCTTGGTTTTCTGAGATTGGGACTGATGAGTTTACTTCTTTTCTTTTGCTGTAAATGGAAAACTAGGTGGGCAAGTCCCTTCCTCTCTGTGTTAACTGTGGAACATGACAACACTTTTCAATTAGGTTTTTTTTTTTTTCATTTCTTCATGTCTCTGCTTATCAACCAGCCCCCGAAGCTATGCTTTGGGAAACCTATGGTGGTAAGATCCTGCTCTCCTCTTGGGTTTTGTAAAGAATTGTCATCGTCTTACTTGCCACAAACCCTTCCTGACACCATCGTGTGCGCTGATCCTTGTAGACCACATCTCGTAACAGTTGTGGCTAAGAAGGATGGTGACATGACTCATTTTAACTATAAGGAGTCTATAAAAGTTGTTGGCGGGCTCTGAAGCGATAGGAACATCCAATGGATGGTTAGCGGGTTCAGTGCTCGACACGGTTCGCTTCAAATCGTTCAATTCCACATCCGAGTTTACTTCCATCCCTATTGTTTCGGCTTCAGGAATGTCTACTTGAACTTCAAAATGTGGAGGAGCTTTACAAGAACACTCGTTCGCTTGTTTCGAACATAGAAAATCTAATGCTATGATAACAACAAATTAGCTTATCTTTCTTTTTGGAGCCCATAACTGAGCCCATTCAGACGTTTGTAGATAGAAGAAACTTGTTCAAAACGGCGCGTCGTGCGGAATCACAATCATCACAGTGCCAAATCTAAACACGCGTCGAGATCACAATAACGTGGCACCGCCTCGAGTTTATTAGGGTTTGTGAACAATTGTCCGTTACAGTCCCACAGAAAGAAAAAGAAACAATTGCTATGATTTCGTGATTTTTCTTTTCTAATTTCCGGTTTCTTCCGAGTTTAGGAGCATCAATTATTGAAATTTTGAGGTTCGTTTAAGATCTCTGTCTATATTGGCATAACGGGAGTCTTGTTTGATTCTAGGGTTTTAAGAAGAGGAATCTGTGAGACGTAAAATCGATGGAAGACGAAACAACGGGGATTACGATAAAAAAAAAGGGTCGGTGTCTTGAGTTAGAAGAAAGGGCTTTAAAAGCCGAGGGAAATTGCTCTGGTTTAGAATCAGAGTTACAGAGACGGAAAACAGAGTTTGAATCACTTGAATTGCGGTTCAAGGAATTGGAATCGGAGAAGATAGTAGTGGAACAAGATTTGAGGAATCTGAAAGAATGTGAGGAAGATTCCTTAATTAAGCAGATAATGGTGAACAGAGCATTGGAGGTTGATAAACAGGTGGCTGAGAACCAAGCCGAGGATTGGAAGAGAAACTTTGAGAAACTCTCGGAGACGGTTCGAAAGTTAGATGAAATCGGCGCTTTAAGACATGGAGAATTTGAATTAGAATCTCTGGATGAGGATGTGAAGCTAGGGTTAGAGTTAGCTAGGATCAAGTCGCCAACACAAAGAAAAACTGAATCTTTTGAAGTGTACGATGATGCTCTGAGCAGGAAAGGATTAACTAATCATCAAATCTCAGGTGAGAAGAACATATTAATCCGCTTGTGCATTGCTATTTAGGTGTAGTGTGATTTAACTATGTTTACGGTTTTTGTTCCATACTTCCATGTAGGTTCACTTTACATAACCACACCGGCTAAAGACTATACGGTGGGGAGAAACAGAGATAACTTGTCTTCTCGTAGACGACAAGTAAAGAAGGTGTTGGTGTTTGAAGGTAATGGTACCAAATCGAACGATGCAGTTGATTTAGCTGATAGCGAACAGAGGAGAGAAACGGGAAGGAATCTGATGTTAAGGATAGTCTAGAGGAGAAAAGTGTTGGTCAGAGCTATGAAGATGAAGCTGTAGAAGATGGTGAAGCTAACACAGGAACTCCTCTCGGTAGTCGTAAGAGGAAACGTCTTATTAGTAGTGATTCAGAAAATGATATCTTTTCAAGACTAAGGAGGGACAAGAGTCTCGAGAAATGGGAGTACGTGACGGATATGCGGTCAGATTTTCGTAAAGATGCAGAGCTTTGTGATGCTGGAGATGGTTTCGAGACCTAATCCATTCTAGATTACAGATCTTTCTAGATATTTCCTTTTCTAATTAGGATTTTAGTAACTTTACTTATTTCTAGGAATTACCTATTTTATGCTTTAAGCTTTCGCTATATAAAGAACTATAGGAGATATGTTTTAGACACAACTTTTTACTATTATTATTAATCAAAGTCTTCGAATTTTCAAACTTTACCTTTTCTGGTGGATTTCAGAGCTTTTTCTTCAAGTTTGTTGCTTACGAACTTGAATTTTCAATTCTAAGACCAACGCTTGTTGTCTTAGTGCATCCGACTGCGTCAAGTGGTATCAGAGCAGGTAATCTCCTTCTCTTTTCGAAGCTTGAACAGCTATAGGTGATCAACCAGTAACCAGGGCTGACATGGAGGGTTTCGCAGTAGGTCTAAACGAATCTACCACGAACTTAGCAAATCTGGTGGCGGCGTTAACTAATCAGATTGCAGCATTAACCAATCAGATTGCTAATGCGGAACAAAGAGGAGGAGTAAGAATGGGACCAAACCCCAATCAACAGGGCAGAAACATCCCGGTTGCTGAAGAATCGGCTCGGAACCGGCAAGGTGACGACAATCATCGACCCGGTGGAAACAATAGACAACAAGGCAGGCACAATCGTGTTGTTGTTAACAATTCCAGCTCAGAGGAGGAGACGGAAGGAGAAGTGGAAGAACAAGGGAATCAAAACAATTAGGATTACCGAGTGAAAGCTGATATTCCATTGTTCTATGGGACTGGGAGTAGAGGAATTTCTCGATTGGCAAATTGATGTTGATCGGTTCTTCGATGTTATGGAAGTCCCGGAGAGAAAACAGGTTAAGATGATGGCAATCAGGTTAAAGAAGACTGCTGCTGTTTGGTGGGATAAATTGGCTATCCAAAGGCAAAGGAAGGGTCCCGTTAGAACATGGCGACGAATGAAGCAGCTAATGACTGAGCGGTTCTTACCAGAAGACTACGAGCAGATTCTCTACAAAATGTATATTGATTGTGTACAGGGAAGCAGGACCGTGACTGATTACACAGCTGAGTTCTTACGTTTCTCTGAACGTAGTGACTTAAAACGAAACAGAGAATCAGAAGGTAGCCAGATACATCAGTGGTTTAAAGGGCTCTCTTCAAGAGAAAATAGGGTTACAGACTGTGTGGACGGTTCAAGAAGCCTCCAGTCTCGCCTTGAAAGTGGAATTGATGGAGAAGTCAACTCGGGGGTTCATAAATTTCAGGAGACCCTCGGTTCAGAACAACTTCGAACTAGCTGGAGAGAAAGACAAAGGCATGGTTAACAGAGATTCCAACTCTAGCAACAAAGGAGCCAGTAGTTCCAATAGTGGCGTTCAAAAGGACAAAGCACCAGCTCCGAAGCAAAACACTCCTTATGCTAGGCCAACCCTCGACAAGTGTTTCCGTTGTCAAGGAACAGGTCATAAGTCGAATGTCTGTCCCAGTAGAAAGACGGTTGCATTCCTAGAAGAAGAGGGAGACGACTTCATGGAGAATGAGGAGTATGAGGGAGTTTGTGGAAGAGGAATCTGAGGACAGAATCAGCATCGTTTTACAACGACTCTTGCTATCATCCAAGGAAGAGGGACAACGCAAGAATCTGTTTAGAACGCATTGTTCTATTCAGAACAAGGTGTGTAATGTGATTGTTGACAATGGGAGCTCCGAGAATTTAGTTTCTCAAATGCTGGTAGAATATTTGAAACTTCCTACGACTCGTCATGAAAAACCTTACGGTCTCGGATGGGTGAAGAAAGGGTATAAGGTAGGGGTTAGTGAAACTTGCAAAATTCCTTTATCGATTGGGAAGCACTACAAAGAGGAGATACTCTGTGATGTTCTAGACATGGATGTTTGTCATATTCTCCTTGGGCGGCCATGGCAGTATGATAACGACATAACATACCAAGGACGTGACAACGTGATCATGTTTACGTGGAGAACTCATAAGATTGCAATGGCTCCTGTTAAAGATTTTGGTAGCATTGCAAAGGAAAAGAAGTCCAGCTTCCTAGTCGTGACGCATGATGACAAAGAACTTGACAAGGCTGTTCAGGAATCAAAGTGTTTTTATCCGATTATGGTCAAAGGGTTGATGAGTGCCGTGACGGAGGAGACAACAGTTCCACGTGAGGTTTTAGAAATTTTGGAAGACTTCAAGGAGTTGGTTGCGGAGGAACTACCTAACGACCTACCTCCTATGCACTGTACATACGACTTTCATCGAATACGGCTTTCCACAGAATTCTATATGTATCTACACATAGACTTGATTCCAGGTTCTAGTCTACCTAATCTTCCCCACTATCGATTGGGCCCTAAAGAGAATGAAATTATAAGAGAACAGATTGAAGATTTGCTAAAGAAAGGACTAATCCGCGAGAGCATGAGTCCTTGTGCTGTACCGGTTCTTCTCGTTCCAAAGAAGGGTAATCAGTGGCGAATGTGTGTTGATTCTAGAGCCATCAACAAGATCACAATCAAGTACCGGTTTCCTATCCCTCGGTTGGAAGACATGCTTGATGAGTTGAATGGATCGAAGGTGTTTTCAAAAATAGATCTTCGAAGTGGGTACCATCAGATTCGAATCAGGCCTGGAGATGAATGGAAGACTGCTTTTAAGAGCAAAGACGGATTATACGAGTGGTTGGTGATGCCTTTCATGTTGTCCAACGCTCCTAGTACTTTCATGAGACTAATGAATCAAATTCTCCGTCCTTTCATTGGGTCTTTTGTGGTGGTTTACTTTGACGATATCTTGATCTACAGCAAAACCAAAGGCGATCACTTGGAGCATCTCAAACGGGTTTTGCTGGTCTTACAAGAAAACCAGCTGTACATGAACTTAAAGAAGTGTACGTTTTGCACAAACAAGCTCCTATTTTTGGGGTTTGTCGTTGGTGAAGATGGAATTCAAGTGGACGAAGCCAAAATAAGTGCAATCAAAAATTGGCCCGTGCCTAAATCCGTATCTGAGGTACGCAGTTTTCATGGTCTTGCGACTTTCTACAGAAGATTTGTACGAGACTTCAGTACTATTACGGCGCCTATCACTGAATGTTTGAAGAAAGGTAAGTTTCATTGGGGTCCGGAACAAGACGAGAGCTTCGCTTCGATCAAGGAGAAGCTTTGTACTGCTCCAGTTTTAGCTTTGTCGGATTTTGATAAGGTGTTTCAAGTGGAGTGTGATGAAAGTGGCGTGGGAATTGGAGCTGTATTGTCACAAGAGAAGCGTCCTGTTGCTTTCTTTAGTGAAAAATTGAGTGAAGCACGTCAAAAGTGGAGTACTTATGATCATGAGTTCTATGCTGTGTTTCGAGCTTTAAAACAATGGGAACACTATCTGGTTCAACGCGAGTTTATTCTTTTCACAGACCATCAAGCTCTCAATTTCCTTCACAGCCAGAAGATGGTCAATAAGATGCATGCTCGTTGGGTTAGCTACTTACAGAAGTTCCCTTTTATCATCCAGCACAAATCAGGAACGCTTAATCGGGTTGCCGATGCCTTAAGTAGAAGGGCTTCATTACTCACTACTTTAGCGCAGGAGGTTGTGGGTTTCGAGTTTTTGAAAGAGTTGTACGAACAAGATCCCGAGTTCCAAGAGCTATGGATCAAGTGCAGTCAGCAGCACCCTTCAGCGGATTTTCATATCCGAGAAGGTTACCTCTTTAAAGGAAATAAGTTATGCATTCCATGCTCTTCTTTACGGGAGAAGTTGATTCATGAGTTGCATGGAGGGGGTCTTAGTGGTCACTTAGGGCGAGATAAGACAATAGCAAACTTGGAAGAAAGGTACTATTAGCCGCATCTTAGGAAAGACGCTGGAGCAATTGTACGAAGGTGTTATATCTGCCAAGTTTCCAAGGGTCAATCTCAGAATACAGGTCTTTACATGCCATTACCTGTTCCTAATGAATCTGGAACGATTTGTCCATGGATTTCGTGTTGGGATTGCCAAGGACACAACGAGGAGTGGATTCTATGTTTGTTGTTGTTGACAGGTTCTCTAAAATGACACACTTCATTGCTTGTAGGAAGACCGCAGATACAACCAACATTGCCAAGTTGTTCTTTCGTGAAGTTGTACGTCTCCATGGGGATCCTACATCGATATTTTCTGACAGAGATACCAAGTTTCTCAGTCATTTTTGGATCACATTACGGAGGTTGTTTGGAACAAGTTTGAAACGAAGCTCTACGGCTCATCCGCAGAGTGATGGACAATCGGAGGTAACAAACAGGACATTGGGGAATATGATCAGAAGTGTTTGTGGAGATAAACCGAAGCAGTGGGATTTGGCGTTACCGCAGGTCGAATTTGCCTACAACAGTGCTGTGCATTCAGCCACAGGGAAGTCACCATTCTCTTTGGTATACACCTCTGTTCCGTGACATGTTGTCGACTTGGTTCCACTACCTAAAGCTCCCGAAGTTAGCACATCAGCAGAGGCGATGGCTAAAGACGTTGTGGCAACTAAAGAAGCGGTTCACGCTAAATTGGAAGCAACCGGACTAAAGAATAAACGAGCAGCAGAAAAGCGGAGAAGAGTAAAGGTTTTTAAAGAAGGAGATGAGGTGATGGTGTTTCTACGGAAAGAAAGGTTTCCAGTGGGTACATATCGCAAGCTTCAGCCTCGCAAGTATGGTCCATTCACGGTTTTGAAGAAGCTCAATGACAATGCTTATGTGGTGGATCTTCCAGACGACATGAACATCTCTCGGACGTTTAATGTAGCTGACATTTATGAGTATCATGCGGATGGTGTTCTTTATCCAAATGAGAACTCGGGGTGGAGTTCTTTGGAGGTGGAGGAGACTGATGCAGGAGATGGTTCCGAGACCTAATCCATTCTAGATTACAGATCCTTCTAGATATTTCCTTTTCTAATTAGGATTCTAGTAACTTTACTTATTTCTAGGAATTACCTATTTTATGCTTTAGGCTTTCGCTATATAAAGAACCTTAGGAGATATGTTTTAGA